CGTGATCGAGTATGATTGCGAAAATTTCGCGCGCACGGAATTTTTCAAAGCGTAATTAATTACTCGTGATAAAAATAAATCTAACCCATTATAATTCAATAAAATAATAGCGTGAAATCGTACGTACAAAGGTGGCATGACGCAAGATTTTCAATCGAACAGAAATTACACGCATCAGGTGGCAAATCTCTATAGCGCGCGCACGTATATACCGTTTTTTTGGACCACTACTACTGCATACTACCTGTATGCAGACACGAATAAATTGCTTATTCATTTATTCATCCCGTTTTTACACGCGCGCGCGCGTAGTAGTTTTTCCCCCGCCGACAAAAGTCGACGCGTATACGCGAGAGAGATCGTCGGAAAATCGCGTATAATAAAATCGGCGCTACTGCACGCACACACGTATAGGCGCATTTACACAGACACACCTCCACACCAGGGAACGTACAAAGGGGCGCCCCCGTGTGTGTACGACGCGTATACAATGTATTATAGATTTGCATTGGAAAACAAGGATCAAAAAGCGATATAAGTTTTCTCGATGCGAGGAATCCTTTTCTTGCGCGCAAACATAGATCCTCGGTAGACCCCGCGCGCGCGAACCGCGGCGTTGTTTTAGGCTTGACCGTATAACGATAATAAAGAAAAAAAAAACGAATTATAAGTAGTAAAAGAAGAAGAAGAGGAGGAAGGAGAGGAAGAATAAACAAAACACGAAGCGCGAGCGAACACGTAGGTGCGAAAAAGGCCCCCACGTTGGCCTTTATATATAATACGAATCTCGCGTCGTCGTATAAGTCGTCGCACGCACGAAACAGCCACAGCAACTTCGAGTCTTGTATACCGCGCGGCTACTAGTAATAGTAGTGCAGTCGTATTTGTATACAATAGGGCATCATAATACTTAATCCGCCCGAGGTATTTGGCCAAGGCGATCCTTATAACGCCCCAAGAGAGCTTCTCTCCCACGTTACGTATATAGCTACAATGCGTACGGCTATAATGCAGTTCTTGCGCCGCGGCGGCGTATTATACGCTCTTTAACGCGCGAGGCGCTCGATGAGGTGCACACCGTATAGGCCACGCTGCACGTGTGAATCGCGCTTCGGCTCTCATAAATTCATGCGTCGCGTATAGCTGCGGTATAACACAAGGGTAATACGGCGCGCACACATACACACACAGGGTATTATAGGCCCACCACCGGCGCTCCGATGTTAATTAAGCGCCGATAACGTCGTCGCTGGCCGCTGCTGCATCGAGCCGAGTAGGGCCCAAGATTTACTTTTCCGCCGACGTCACTTGCGCGCATGGCTCGACGAAACCCCTTCTCCCTCCCTCGCTCTCTATACTGTACTTTTTCTCTTTCGTCTTCGCCTTCTTTATTGCCCCGTACTCTCCTCGCGAGACTATCTTCGCGGAAAGTCGTAAGTGTGTGTATGTGCGTACGTATCGAGCGGAAGTACGCGTCTGCTCCTGTGTGTACATATGTGTATGGCTAAAGTGCGTGCGTATCCTATAAATATATAGGAACAGCAGCAGCAGAAACGATGGCGCACGCCGCGGCGAGCCGTCATCGTTTTGCATTGATGAATTAATAAATCTCGTTGGAATATCCGCCCCTATATCTACCGAAAAAAAAAAAAAACGACTTTATGTATACGAGCTCGTGTGAGGATGCCGATCGTCGTCGTCGCGCATAACGAGACCGTATCTTTTTTTCGGTACTAGAGACTTTTCCTCTCTTTCGCTGAAACGTATATGTATATGTACGCGAAAAAGAAGAGAAAGAGAGAATATGCCACTGCGCCGTACAGTCGAGCCTGACGACAGACACACACATGTACTACGTTTACGCGCGCGTGTGCATTTACATAAGGTACGACGCTCTCTCTCTCTAGGGCCATCAGTTTTATAGTTCGAGCTCGTCTGTTGCTGGCAACGTTTATATGCTGTGCTACGTACGTACCCACACACACACACACACACACACACACACACACACACACACACACACATGCACCGCTACGGCAGACTCGCATTCTTCGACTCGGCGTGCGAGGCCGAGCGAAGCGACGATCCTCTCTATGTATATGGCCGAATTATACACAAGTGGAGGAAAAAATTAAAGAGACTCGGCCTGTGAGAATTATTACTCCGGCGAGGACATTACTTCAAGTCCTTTTTCTTAGGCTGCTATATATCCACGTGTGTGTATGTGTGTGTGTGTTTTCTTTTGCGCGCTTGGCTTGGCTCGGCTCCTTCCTTATATATACCAATGTACACTTGGTTTGAATCAGATTTCCAGGCTTGATAGCTGCTGCTGCTGCTCTTTGCGAGGAGAGCCTCGACTCTTTTCTGCGCCGCAAAATTAAATGTTCCGTTATGTGTGTGGCGCGTATACATAAGTTGCATTTGGAGCACGTGGACTTTGGTGCGCACTTGTGTGTGTGTATGTGTGTGTGCACGTACTTGCCCTAGCCTATTGAATTCATTAGCTGTATCTAAAGCCTCGATGCCCTCGTAACGCGCAAGTTTATACGCATAGTTTACAGATTATGCGCTCTTGATAAATTACAATAATTTTTCACTCTGTGCTACCGTGTCTGACGATTGAACGTTAACAATGCGTACAAAGCTGATAATGCGTAAAATAGCGTAAAATTCAAAAACGGCGTTACAATGAGCTCGAGACTCGCCAAGTGTACCTTCGAGAAAGAGCGAGGTGCCAAGAACAACAAAAGTCTCTTTCTCTCTTTCTCTGATCAAACTGTTAACAGTTCAAAAATCCTCGCTCGCTAACGAACGACGTGACGGCAGGCAAATACGTCGTGCAAGCTTCGTCGTGTTCAACTTTCGATCTTGTTTCACGATACATAAGCCCCATTTTGCCAGCGTCCTCCTCTTTGCGCAGCCCTTCTTCTTCTTCTTCTTCTTCCAAAGCAAAGTCTGTAAAGTTGTCAAAATTTTCACGCTCCACGAGTGTTCGTCGTCAAACTGATCCTCTCTGCTCCCGCTGCCGCCGCCGCCGCTACTTCACGATCAATTCACGAATCGTCGAGACAGGGAGAAGAAACGCATGTTTCGAGTTTAACAAATCGACCCGTTGATATTTAAATGTATGCGAGAGGCCGTGATTTACAATTCGTATACTACGTGGGATGATCTTTTTGCGCGCGTGTAAGTATACGAGAGATATCGTCGCACGAGCTATTTCCGGAGAGAGAGAGAGAGGCGCATCGATATAATTTATTACCGATTCGATGAAATGACAAAAAGTACATTCATATTTTTAGCTCTCCCTCCCTCATGAGAGAGTGAGCGAGTGTTAAATCGTTCGATGTATGATTAATCGCTCGTGATTGGCACTTTGTGCCTGCACGTAGACAAAAAATTATTTCAAGCATCCTAAACTCCGAATTCGACTTACTGCGCATTCATGGAAATATCTATACTTTTTTCCCCCCGGTAAACGCGCGCAATGCTAGATAAATATTGCAACGCAGGTATGCGCATGTCATAAAGAATGCACCGAGCGTAAGTGTGTGTGTGTGTCTATGTGTGAATATAGAGAGAAGGCGAGAAAATCACAACCAAGTTAGAGATAGGATGGTCTCGAAGATACCGAGGCCAGAGCCAAAGGGATGAGGCACGCCGTTAATTCCTACCGCTGCTGCTGCTGCAAGTGCAATCTTTTCTTATAGACGCATTTCAAATGCAGCACACACACACAACTAGACTCTATCACGAAGTTTACGTGTCGACACGACTGCAAAATACCTACCAAAGATTATTTTTACACGGCAAAAGAGGCTCACGCGGATGGCGGCGGCGGCAGCGGCAGTATCGTGGAAAACCTGTTTCTCTTCTCTTCTTCTTCTTTCTCTCTCTCTCTCTCTCTCTCTCTCTATATATATACGTTTATGTACACATATAATCGCCTTTTGATCTCCATACCTTTTTCAACGCGGTTTCAGCGTTATTTACGGTCTTCGATTGCGATTCGCGCACCTCCTCTTTTCTTTTCTTGGCCCTTTTCTGTTTCTTTTTTTTTTTTACTCTCTTCATATTCCATATAAGAAGAGGCTCTTCTCTCGCTCTCTCTCTCTCTCTCTCTCTCTCTCGCGAAAGATACGGCGTTAAATTATAATTAATCCTTCTCGCCAATGAAACTGCTGCTCGTAATCAGAACTTGAGAGCACCCGCGTATACCTCTTTTTCTCTCTCCCTCGTCTTTATGTACACCGAATAATAATTTCTTTCGCTGCTCTTTCTCTCTCCCGCTCGTTCTCGCTCGCGCTCGTACATAGTGCGAAAAATACATATTTAATATCACAACCGAATCGAGAAACGAACGCGGAACACTTTTTTATAACGTTTTTAACCCGCGAATGAAGATGATATCTGCGCGCGGGCAAGAATTTTGAATTACAGGATCGTTCGAGCAAAAAGAGATTATTCGGCCGAGATGCGCGCAAAAATGAATCGTGTACTCGATCACAACGTGTGTGTGTATGTGTACATGACGGGATACGTGCAACTGCTCGCATTATTGTAACTCGGAAGAGAGAGAGAGAGCAAAAAAAAAAAAAAAAAACAACACTCGTGTGTGACGCAACGCGAAATTAATTCTGACGCAGCAGCGTGCGTGATTTTACCGTTTTTTCGTCTTCTTTCGGAGAGTCCAACAAACTGCGCGCAATAGCGGCGCGTTGAAGCAATTGAAAAAACATTTTGTATATTATACAGATGAATACAACAACGCAACACACAACACGAACGAAGGCTTATTTGACACGAGGCATAACCATTATATTTACGATAAACATGTTTTCGAAGGGATCCAAAGAGAACTGTACGTACATAAAAAAGAGGCGAGAATACAAATTCCGTAATGCGGAGAACGATGAGACGTACATTGCACACCGCGTGTATTACGTTCGAGAAAACACTAAGTCAAAAAATCCTTTTCTTCTTGTTTTTTCCTTTTTTTTTTAGGAGCCTCCTAAATAACAGAGCTTCAGCAGAGCGCATTGTCCGGGATCGCAGATCGGGAAGAGCTTGGTCATGCACTCGGGATAGCCCATGCAGTCCGACATGGTGCATTTGTCTTGCAGGCCGTTTCTTCGGATGCACTGGCATTTGTTCATTATGCTGGCGCGCAGCTCGAAGCTCGTGCAGCGCTTCAAAGGTGCCTACACACGCAGCAGCAGCAGAGAGGAAGAAGAGAGGCAGAAAATAAAACGATGGTCGTTTAACGACTCGCGCAAGTGATAATCGATTTTCTTTAAGAGAGGAGTGGGTAAAAAAACACTTACGCAGCAGACCATTTTCGTCTTGTTATCAGGTGTGACCACGGAGTAACACGTCCTCGGCTGACAGACGGGCTTGCCTCTCTGACACTTCTGGGGCGGCGGACAGGGCGACGCAGGCTTGCAAGGAGCGGGACACGGCGGCGGAGGGCAGGGCTTCGAGCACGGCACCTCGCAGACCATCTTGTAGGGTGGACAGGTCGGCGGGCAGGCCGGCGGTGGACACGGCTTCGGGCACTGCACCTGGCAGACCATCTGGCAAGACGGCGGCGGTGGACAGGGCGGCGGACAAGGCGGTGGACAAGGCTTCGGGCAGGGCACCTCGCAGACCATCTTGCAGGGCGGCGGGCAGGGCGGTGGACAAGGCGGAGGTGGGCACTGCATCTGGCAGACCCACTCGCAGGGTGGCGGACACGGCGGCGGCGGTGGCTGGCAAGAGGGTTTCTTACCGCCGCACGGCGGTGGCGGACACGGCTTGGGACACTGGAGCTGGCAGACCATCTTGCAGGCGGGCGGCGGACACGGCGTCGGACAGGGTGGTGGACAGCGCGGCGGACAAGGCGGCGGACAAGGCGGTGGACACAGCGGTGGGCAGGGCGGCGTGCAGATGGTTTGCTTGCAGCTCGGGGTGCAGGTCACCCGGCAAACGGCCTTGCAGGATGGCGGCGGAGGTGGACAGCACGGGGGAGGCGGGCACTTGGGCGCGGGCTCGCACGGCTGCTCGTCCCACTCGCAGGGTTTTCTGCGGATCGCGTCGATCGCGAGTCGTAAAATCAGCCGGAGTTGCTAATTTTTTTTTTTTTTTTTTTTTTTTTTNAGATTATCAGCAATTTTTTTTTTTTTTTTTTTTTATTTCACTTCGACTCACTTTCTTTCCATGGTGGTGATGAGGCACTTCAGCTGGTTCAGCAGCTGTCGGCGTTGCTGGCAAGACTTGTTTTTTCCGTCGCAGGGCATCGTTGCGCGATTTTTACGATTTTACGATGATAAATTATTGATAAACGAAGAATTTGGAAATTCGATTGAAATATTATATATTATTTAAACGAAAAATTTGTTCGAGTCGAAGCGCGAATAATAACTGGGAATTTGACGAATGAAAAGATTTAATACACGGAGAATTTGAAAGGTTACCGAACCATCGCGAGATCGTTACTGCTACATCTCTCTCGCTCGCCGAGAGCTGTTTAGACGAGTAGTCATGGTTACCGAAGACAGCGACGGACGAAAAAACAACGAACGAATTCGTTCGAACGATCGACAGCTGTATATATGTACGAGATTATTTTGAAAATCGAATTTAACAATCTGACGATTTAAAAAAAAAAAAAAAATATTTCGAATTAACTTTTATTCGCGCATTAGCACGCGACGCGGTATTTAATAATAAATACACGCTAATAAAATAAAATACGAGAGCGAAATTTATCTTCGAGCGACGATATTAAAATTTATAATGAACGACGATTGAGCGTGAGCAATTTGTAACGCGGCCCCGCGAATGAAGCATTAATTAAGTTTCTAAGGACGAAACATATAAAAGGGCATTGAATTGATGCATCTCTCGGAGGCATCTCTCAATCTCGCACCTTTCGCTCGATCATCTTTCATCATTAGAAGCCTCGGGCGCTCGCAACGAGCTCTCTTGCTCTCTCTCTCTCTCCCTTCGACTTTCGCGCTCGCTCAACTTTTCTTCTCATTTCGGCCGCTCGGCGCAATAATATCATTCGCAACGGAATGCGCGTATGATATATCTCAACGGTTATTGCGGAACCGTTTCGTTTGTTAATTACAAACTGCTACCGAACGCACATAATTTTTTTCTCTCTCTCTCTCTCTCTCTGTCTCTCTTTTGCATCCGCAACGGGGCAGCAGCAAGCTAAAACAACTGGCTTGACCAAAGCAGCGCGCACATTCGTTATTCCACAATTTTCGCCGCAACAATCTCGGCGCAACGATCTCTGTTTATATGCTGCGAGAAAGAGACTCGTAGCTCGCGCGCGCGCCCCGCGAGTATTAACACGTACACATTTCACTTTTTAATATATATTTCGAGAGAGAACCTCATCAACACCGTATAATACCGTACGTACATAAGTATATACGCGCGCGGGGCGCGCGATCATCTCTTTCTCTCTCTCTTCTTTTGCGCTCGCGCGAGAGAGCCTTCAATGCTTTATGATTGGATCGTGTATATGTACGTTTGCATTATACGCGGTAATAACTTATGCCAAATGTTACGAGATATATTTATACGCCTTTTTAATTTATCGAGAGACGCGCGGCCTGTGCGCAGCTCGCGCGCGTATTATATCCTCTCGGGGAGCAGCTCGACTCTGTGTATGTGTATCCGTAGGAGCAGCAGCAGCAGCACCAGAGAAGAGCATATATTCCTGGGCGCGCGGAGAGTTAATAAATATTTATAAATTTTGCCTTCTTCCGATGAAAGATTACGCGCGTCTCCCGTGCGTTATTATTATACCGAGGCTTTTTTCCCGGGCTGCTTTATGTACTATAACGCCACGAGGTGGCAAATTGATACGAGTTACTTTTTTCAAACTTGAGAAAAACATCTATATCAAAATAATTTTTTTTTTTTTTCGTAATGTTTGAATCGGTTGACGAAACTTTTGATTCAGTCCTGATATAACCTACATTTATCAGGTTATTTTTGGGATAACTAATAAGCAATAAATTGCATTTTGTGAACCGACGACTGCACGATCAATCATTACCGACCCAATTTCATTCAGGTCGAAATGAACAATCAGCAGGAACGAACACGCAAGTGTGCCCCATGGCACAAAAGACTCTTTTATTGCCGATCGTGAGATCGTTACGGTTTGGCTTTTAGATGTTCTAAAAGATTGCGGAGGACGACAATGCTCGGTACAAGTGTGTGTGTGTGTGTGTACCCGACGAACAAGATAATCCGTTGTTTGCCAAAATGTACAATGTCAATAAATTACAATGGGTCGTGATGATGATTCTGCGTGCCGATCGCGGTGCGCTCATTACCTATAGATAGAAGCTGCGAACTAACCCATAAATCATACAATGTACGCCGGCTGAAAAATGGCCGCTTGTATATAGGTACACATTGTAGACGACGCGCGGAGGAGAAAGTAGCAGCAATGCAAGCTCGCACTCGTATAATCCAGATCCACCGGTGTACGTAAGTAGGTATATAGGCGCTTAGCGCTCAGCTGTGCGTAGTCGCTCGTACGAAAAACTTTTGGTAAATTATGTTTCGCGGGCATCAACCGCGCCGGGAACGAGAAAAAGAGTCACTTTCTTGAGAGCTGCTAGCAAGGCCGGAGGTTTTTGCGCGGCTTTGCGCGCGCTACTAATGCCTTCTGAAATGCTTTAAATAGAAATTAGCCTCCTTGTAATCGCTCTCGAAGCGCTCGGACTAATGGTTCTGAGCTCGGCTTTGCAAGCCGCAAGAATTAAAACTATCTCTCGAAATACAGGTGAAAATTTGTACTTCAACATCGATTGCTACAAATAAGTTAGGAAGACAGAATTTAGAGTGAACCGTCCATTTATTGGCCGAATTGTTGCTTTTCAACGTTTGGCTTTCATCTAGTATTCGAGTAAAATGTATCGAGTTATCAGTCGACAAAGATGTAATGATGTAGGTTAGCACAAAGTTGAGGTAAAACAGTCTTATTGGCTCAATTTTTTTTAAAATATTAGAATTTACTTGTATACATAATTACTTGTATATACATTTACAATTTTCAAAAAAATTATATAAATCTTTTTAATTATTTTGCTAGTGAAATACACGGTATCAGCTGAGGAACTATTCAGAGAATATGACTGAAATAAGTTCCAGTCATTCCTATAAATAATAAACTATTTATTTTCTATGAAAGATTGATTATAATCTTGTATGATTTTATAAGCAACAGATACGATTGAATTTATATTCGTCTTTAAACGTTCTTTAGTTATCTTTGTAAAATTTATCAACTGGTTTTCAGCGGTTACTTGAATTCGACGTTCTTCTCGCACTTGACTACATGGATAATCTTTGAGGCCTTCGTAGACTATTTTTTGGTGTCTAATCAAATCATTGTTTTATTCAAATTTCTCTTCATTTTTATCGCATTCAAAATCTTTTTGACCTTCGTGTACTCTTTTTATGTGCCCGAGCAAACTAGGTTTATTGTCAAATCTCTTTGCACACATTTCACATAAAAAATTTTTAAAAACTTCGTGGAAAATTTTTTTGTGCTTTTGTAAATTTGATATATTTTCAAATTTTCTCTCGCACTTGCCGCATGCAAAATCTTTGCGTTCATCGTGAACCATTTTTTTGTGTGAAAGCAAATTCCGCTTTGTTCCAAATTTCTTTCCGTAATTTTCGCATGAGTAATTTTTGGGACCTTCGTGTACTGTCTTTTGATGTCTAATAAGATTTCTTCGATCTGCAAATTTCTTCTCGCATTTATCACATGCGAAATCTTTCCGACCTTTATGGATTGTCTGTTGGTGGCTTAACAAATTTGATTTACTTCCGAATTGTTTCTTGCACTTGTCACATGCGTAATCTTTCCGACCTTCATGGACTATGTTTTGATGTTTGATCAAATTGCTTGATTGCCCAAATTTCTTCTCGCACTTGTCGCATGTGTAATTTTTGCGACCATCGTGAACTCCCTTTTGGTGCCTGATCAAATTCGACATGAATCCAAATTTCCTTTCGCACTTATCGCATACGAAATCTCTACGACCTTCGTGTGACACCCTTTGGTGGTTGACTAAATTCCATTTTTGTCCAAATTTTTTCTCGCAGTTGTCACATGCGAAATCTTTGCGATCTTCATGTACTGTTATTTGGTGTCTTCTAAAATTGCCTTGATCCCCAAATCTCATCTCACACTTGTCGCATGCAAAATCTCTGCGACCTTCGTGAACAGTTGCTATGTGCTGAAGCAAATGAAAATTGCTCCCGAATTTTTTTTCGCAAAAGCCGCATGCATAATTTTTGAGACCATCGTGGACTGTCCTTTGGTGAAAGAGCAAGTTACATTTTAGTCCAAATTTTTTTTCACACTTGTCGCATGCGTAATCTTTGCGACCTTCGTGCACTGTCCTTTGGTGCTTCAACAAATCTGATTTGAATCCAAATTTCTTGTCGCACTTGTCGCACGAGTAATCTTTGCGACCCTCGTGAACTGTCCTTTGGTGCTTCAACAAATCTGATTTTCGTCCAAATTTCTTTCCGCAATTTTTGCATGAGTACTCTTTGAGACCTTCGTGTACTATCTTTTGATGTCTAATAAGATTTGTTCCATCTCCAAATTTCTTCTCACACTTGTCGCATGCATAGTCTTTACGTCCTTGATGGACTGTCTTTTCATGCAAGAGTAAGGTCCGTTTGTATCCAAATTTTTTCTCGCATTTGTCGCATGGGTAATCTTTACGACCCTCGTGAACATTTGATATGTGCGACAGTAAATGACATTTACTCCCGAATTTTTTTTCACACTTGTCGCATTCGAAATCATGGCAACCCTCATGGACTGTCCTTTGGTGGAACAGCAAATTCGATTTTTGGCCAAATTTTTTTTCGCACTGGTCGCAAGCAAAATCTCTGCGACCTTCGTGGACTATATTTTGATGTTTTTTCAAATTCCCCTTATCTCCAAATTTCTTCTCACATTTGTCGCACGCGTAATCTTTTCGACCTTCGTGTATTGTTTTCTGGTGGGCGAGTAAATTTGCTTTTTGGGAAAATTTTTTCTCGCATTTGTCACATGTGAAAACTTTATGAACTTGATTTGATGCAACGATGTCGTATTTATTCAAGTTATTCTTAGCGACAATTGTTTCCTTCCCACTTTCATCCATTTTGGGGTCTCAATTATACGATAGATCTTTCTATTTAATGCCACGAAGAATTGATAATGTTAACTTTTCTTTCGGAATTATACCTTCTATCGTCGTTGAAGACAACACTTATACTGATTGGTTTGGGTAGGCACATGTTCAATGTTCAAGGCGTGTTGTCAAGATTATTTGTGATCATATTGTTTACATTCAAGTCACCTATTTATCAGTTTCTATATTGTTTTCATATTTTTGAATTAACTTACAAGTTTCTCCGAGGAATCGC